GCGACACAGTGAAACCTGTCTTTAAAAAAAAAAAAAAAAAAATGCAGAGGATGAGACAGCTGCAGACACAGGAGAGTAGAGTTCTAGGATTTTACTGATGGCCACAGTGTAAGTGGCGGGCCGCTGGGGAACCTAAAATGGGTATGCACTGACCTAGCACGTCCGGAATGAGGTGGGGCCGTCAGTACCCACAGGCACCCAAGCGCCACACGAGGGATGGCAGCCACAGGTGACAGTAAACTCCAGGCAGACGAGGCCCTCGGGGAAGACTTTGCTGAAGTAAGCAAAGGGTTGGAGGAATGAGCTGAGGTTCTGGTGGGAAAGACCTCAGGTACTACACAGGCACGCGCACCCTTGCAGTGCTCCTGGAATCACACACACTGACATGGAGGGCAAGGCTGTGTCAGGACCCCGCCTGGGCCGCAGGTCAGGACTGTACAACAGCAGGGTGCTTTTATCCTCCTCATCCTAAGTTCCTTGAGGGCCACCTTCCCACCGTCGCGGCCCGTCCCAGCTCAGGAGGCCAGTCTTGCTCCATTTCCCTCTGGCTCATGTCCTCCCTGCAGAAGGCACAGAGTCTTCGACAGCCGGCTGGGCCCCATTCCCGCAGGGCGGGGGGACCCTCTGCTCCCTCCCTCCTGTCACCCTAAGTCGCACACTTCCCCACGACTAACTTGCCTCCCACGCCCACACCTGCCCCCGTCTTCAGTCCACTGCCACACTGCAGGTAGAGTGGTCCTCGCACTCACTCCTGTGCACATCCTAGCTCCCGAGACTCATCCATGACTTCCGGCCCCCACGCAGCCCCCGGTCGTTGCCACCTCCACGCTCACCTCGGACCCCAGCCCTCCCTCCTCCCACCCTCCCGGAAACTGTACCATCTCTGCTCTGCAGCTCCACTTTCTGAAACGCAGGGCCTGGTCTCACCCCCACCCAAGCCCGCCTCCTTCCCTGTGCGCGGGAATCGGGCTGCACCTCCTGCATGACTACAGCGTTAGTAAAGCTCGGGGTCCTCCTCCACCCCCACAGCTCCAAGGCCACAGCGTGTGCACAGGAAACAGACGAGGCATGCAATTCAGTTCCGAAGACTATTAAGTAAACTAAGAAGTGAAAAAAAATTTTTAATGTTATGTTTTATGCTAACATTTACCCCAAATGCTACACAAATATAAAGTTTGACTTTAATAACTCATTCGTGCACAAACGGATGATGACACCCGTGGAATAGCTACGTTGATGCCACAGATGGTTAAAGGATAGACGAAAGAATGCCATCTGTGAGCTCATCAAACAGCCCACACAAAGAGCCACTGCCTCGAAAATTAAAGGTTTCCTGAAATACAAAGAGATAGGAGCGAAAGAGTTGAATAAAAACCTAAGCCACATTTATGAGTTCTAATGGAAAAAAAATGAATAGACAAAACCACAAGTCTCTTAGAGATGAAAAAGGTTGTGCTAAGTTGGTTTGGAACCTACAAAAACACAGGGTGCAGCTTTTACCACCACCTGGTGTGGTGTTTACGGCCTGGTTTGTTTTGTTTTGTTTCTGTATAAAGTAACTTACTGTACTGTTCTTTGCATAAAAATGTCATGGAAGGACTGAGTAGAAACATGAAATCTCATTCATTTATGACTTCTGGTTTAACCGGACCTTCCCAAAGCTGCCTTGTTCCATCCACTCAGCCCAGCCCGGCTCCTCCACCCGCAAAGAGCCATGCCGTGCTCGGCAGGACCGCCAGCGCTCACACTGCAGTTAGGCACTAGACGGGGCCTCTACAGCTGCGATGACGAGATCTGCTTAGGAGGTGCACAAAGCACCGCAAATAGAAGGGACAGACTGCACCCCAAAAGTAGCTGTGGAAATAACTGTAGACACCCCTAAGCAGGTCTGCAAGCAGGTGTTGTGTGTTGAGAGACAAGGAAGAACTAGTCCTGGAGCCTCACAGGAGGTGACAGTCTGAAGAGCTATGTGGAGACCACTTGGAGAAAGCGGGTTCTAAACAGGCAGCGGGAGAGTGAGTGGTGCGTGGTGCTATTTCAACTTCCGCCCCTGGGTAGCTACAACCCCATGGTTATTGCTTACGTGCAGATTAAAGTATGAATGAGTAAAAGTGACTTCTATGTGTTTAATGAAAATAAAGTAATTTACACAACTTCAGGTTGTTTTTTAATTAGAAGGAGTCACAAGACCTTCCAAGAAACTCTAAAGAAGCAGTATGTCAGATCACCGGAATAAGGAATAAGTATTTTAGAGCATGTGGCAGGCTACAAAACAGGTAGTGTGGTCTCATGGAGGACGATAGAGACACCAGTCCGAGGTGTCCCAAAGTGGTCTGCACTTGGTCTTAAAAAATACTGTAAATCTAAACCAATGAAAAGAAGGTAACTGAGTCATTTCATTCTCAGTGCCAAAGCTTCTCTTCCCACCCCAAAGGGCCAAGGGCTACATGTGGGTGTCCCAGGGTCCTGCACATGTGAGATGAACAGGTGCGGCGCTCAGTCAGAAACAGTGGGACCTGCATCTCCCGCAGCGCAGGGGTCCTGCACACACTTCCATGGAGACGCCCTTCAGTCATCGTAACGTGGGGGGCAAAGCTGCAGCACACACTGTCAGCGGGCTGCTTAGGTAATGTTGGTTTTTTTCATATTTTGGTCTTTTTATTGAAAGATCTGCTTTAAAAAACAGGTGATCAAAATAAATGCATTCAATTCGGATGCTAACACACTGCCCCCACGATGTGGCTGAACTGATTACCTAAACACATTTCAATTAGAAAAATGAACCCCAAGTCCTTTCCTGGCCCTCTCCAGAACTCTTAGCTTGTTGTAAATTGTAAATTATTCAACAAGCTTTAAAGGATTTTTATTTCTCATGTTATAATTACACAGCATTAACCAATGGGGAATAATTTACCTTCTTCAAAAAATTAAACAGAACAATTTTCTGACAGCTACCGTCATTATCTGCTTAGGCCACTGTGGTGGATTAAGTAATGGTGAGCGTGTGACGCGCAGCTGAATGGGTGGCGGAGCGTGGCGGAGCATGGCGGACCCACCTGCAGTTTACTGCTGGCAGCCAGAAGAAGAGAAGTGGAGGGGACGATCTCGGCCTGTTGGTTTTCTAGGAGAAGCTTGCTGAGATGGTTTTCCTGATGTGAACCAGCCTGTTCTCATCACAGGAGGAGCTCGGCACCTCCCTGTCACTGGGAACGGTGGCTGTTGTCACCAGGGGAGCTCTGATCTTCACCGTGAGCGTCACTTCCTGGCCCCAGTGTGGATCCCTCAGCCTGGTGGCACCAATCCTTCATCCCACCAGTACTGGCTTCCACCACTGGCCTTCGGGCCCTCCAGGTGCAGATCCTCGATACGGACAGGCAGGAGACATTGCGTGGGCTGCCACTGGTGGACTCGTGGAGGACACTGCCTTGGGCTCTAGGCCTTCAACTGGACGTGTGTGGGGCACTGCCGGGATCCAGGCCCTCAGCTGGACCCTTTGGGCCTCAGTGTGTGGTTAATCTCTCTTGCACTCCTCTGTATTTGATTTTTGGAGTAAATATCATAAAATAATCCTATAAATTATGTGTCCTGTATTTAATGTATTCCACTGCCAAGACCCTGACTACAACAGCCACAAACCTGCACCTTTGAAAAAAGAGTATGAATTGTGTTTCTGGCAAAGGTGGGAATAGGTACTTCCAGACCATTCCTCCCAATGACGAGAACTTCCAAAGGCTGATGAACGTAAAACCACACTCATAAGAGCACGAAAGACCTGACAAAAGGGTAACTAATAACTCTACAACAATATAAAAGAAAGAGAGAAGTCAGAGAGGCCAGAGACCAGCCACAGTCCCTTGTGTGCTAAAGAGACGCCGCAAGAGCTCATGGTGAAGACAGCTGACCCGGCAGGAAGGGGGACCTCGCACTCTTGTTGACCACCCTCTGGATGGACTAAATCGTCACACACACAGAACTTGGATCAAGAAGCTCCTAGACAGGTAATGCCACCAGAAAGCAGGCACAAGCACCCGGAAGTCCTCTGTGGAGAGAGGCACCTTCATGATAGCCGTCACATATTCTTAAAGATAAATATCCAAATAATACGAGCAATACACAACACGTGTGACAAGAAACCAGCTCAGTGAGAATCAACAGAAATGACAGACAATAGGAAGAGACACACAAATCTCAAGGTACTGTGGGGAGAAATGGAATGGCGAGTATTCAAGGAATCCAAGAGTTGAGAAAAGAAAGCAAGAGAAATTAGACAGCAAACTGGTTCTATAATCTTAA